TGGTTCCTCAGAAAAATTTCGAAAAAATTGGATCTGCCGTTTTGCTGGTTGCTCAAATTCGTAACTTTTCGAAGAAGAGCTTGATTAGCACGACTTTGTTCAAAAAGGAGAAGAACGTCACAAATCCTAGAATTTGTTCCGTTTTGCCAACTCTACGCAGGAAAATCAGAATTTGAGGTAATCTGATTACCTTATATTACCTTACAGCTTTTATCTTTGCAGTTGTTTCGTGTTAGAAAATTTTTCAGGTGATATCGTAGAGCGTATGTTTTTTTTCCTTTAAACAAAGGTAAAACAATGCAAATTTTTGAGAAGAAGTTATGGATTGTTAAAAACGGTGCTACCGAACTTTTGGGCCAAGTATGTTTTTTAGCCCCCATTCCAGCTTTTTGCGGAGATTTGACTTTCTAAGAGATACACCTCGGAGAAGCAACACCTTCTATGGGTACAAATCAATATACAGTGCTGGCCTTAATTATAAAGACACTTTAGAAATCACTGTAATTTACCTTCTTTACGATGAACTCCTTAAATTTTGCTGTGTAGTGCGCATGCATACCTACCATAACTCTTAAAAACGGCTTCCAATCCTGCTGATTTCGAACGGAGAAAAATGGAAGATTTCCAAAAAGCCTGTTTTGAAAGCTGGACAATCATAAAAACACCTGGTCTTTTAACATTGTCGCATTCCTTGACTCTCAAATTTTTTTGTAGAGTTACATCCCAAAATATGAAACTTTTGCAACACTTACGACCTGTCATCCAAAGAAAGATGATCGTTGCATGATCTTTTCCAAAGGCATCAAAAATCAAACTGCTTCAACAAACAGCTGGTTTGAGGAGTTTTCAAGCTCGTGTTCATTTCAGATGACAGTTCTGGAATACACTGAGCCTTTTCGATAGATGAAAGTTACAGAAAACAACGCCATGTAGCCATTAAGTGCGCTGTACAACAATAAACATGTGTGCCTAGTCAGGAAAAAATTTCGGTGTCGAACATTCCGGATCAGCCGCAGTTGTCATCCTCTGAGAGTTGAGTGGAGCACCCTGCACAATCATATGCAACTCAAATCAGGAAATCGAACAGCAGACCGCTTGAAACTTCCTTCAAAATCTTAGTCAATCTCAGCTACCGCGTAAAATGTGACATGAAACAGGGAAAAAAATAGTGAGATTTGTGATTATGTTGAATCTACTGCTCGCAGAGAGTTTTCGTGGAAAGTATTTCAGATCTAAACGGCAACTGCAACACTAAAAAAATCTAAAAGTTGTTGCAAAAGCTGCGTCAACATGTAGGCAACGTAATAAATCGAGCCCATCACTTCACGAACATTGAAAAGTGAGTTTTGTGGTGTAAAAGCGTGAAAATCCTACAATGGAGTTGGAGTTTGTCTGCCAAAATCAGCGATTACGCAGAGTATATGAAAGCGCTCTTCACCTTATCTATCGAAAAAGCTCAGTGTATTCCACAACTGTCATTTGAAATGAATACGAGCTTGAAAACTCCTCAAACCAGCTGTCTGTTGAAGCAGTTTGATTTTTGATGCCGTTGGAAAAGAAAAATTCAATGATCATCTTTCCTTGAGTAGGATGACAGGTCGTAAGTGTTGCAAAAGTTTTATATTTTGGGATGTAACTCTACAAAAAAAATTTGAGATTGTCCAGCTTTCAAAACAGGCTCTTTTGAATTTTTCCATTTTTTTCCGTTCGAAACCAGCGGGATTGGAAGCCGTTTCGAGGAGTTATGGTAAGCATGCATGCACACTACACAGCAAAGTTTCAGACGAGTTCATCGAAAAGAACGTAAATCACAATGATTTCTAAAGTGTCTTCATAATCATGGCCAGCACTGTATGTATACATATGTCAGTGCCAAACTCTAGATAAATTTATCAAACAGGTCAAATAAGGACTTTTTCAGTAGATCCAATAGGTTGTCAAGAAAATAAGTCGTTTTTATTAGGTTGTCCGGAAATTAATGCCCGTTTTGAATTTCAACCGCAATAAGTCATACACTTCTCACTTCTAAATAGGTTGCAAAGTATCATTCGGTAGAGCAAAGCAAGCTTTATAAAAAGGCTATCTTGCTTTTCAAAAGCTCTTATCCACCTCGAGTTTCGAGCCAAAAACTAGAAAGACTTAGCAGCCCAAAAAATCGAAAAAAATCGTAACTCACTTTATAAAAATCCTACAAAAGTTCTTACTTGCTCACGTAAACACTATCCACCTAAAACATCTATGTACGCCTTTGCCGTATTTTTTCCTCTGTTAAAAATCAGGAAAACGGAAATTTTCGTGCATCTGCCAAAGTGATGCTGTGCTGTCCTCACATAGGTAGTTGTTTACTACAAACCTGTAGAAGTATAAACGTAAATTCTCAGCTCTCTAAAGGCTTTAGTTCTTGAGAAATTTGAATTTTAGCTTAGACCACCTTATTAGGGAAAGCTGTATTCGGTACTTCTCGAGAACTGAAGCTTGTGGAGAGCTGAAAATTTGAGTCTGTACTTCTACAGGCTTGTGGTATACAATTATTACCTATGTATGTATTACCTATGTAGGGACGGCACAGCATCACTCTGGCAAATGCACGAAAATTTTCGATATTTTTGGTTTCTAACAGAGGGAAAAATGCGGCGAAGGCGTATATAGTTGTCTTATGTGGATAGTGTTTACGTAAGCAAGTAAGAATTTCAGTAGGAATTTTATGAACTGGGTTACGATTTTTCTCAATTTTTCGGGCAGTTGAGTCTTTTTACTTTTCACCTTAAAACTCGAGGTGTATAAGAGCTATTGCAAAAGCAAAAAAGACATCTTGTAGAGCTTGCTTTGCTCTATCGAATGGTACTCTGCAACCTATTTAGAAATGAGAAGTGTATGACTTATTGCGGTTGAAGTTCAAAACGGGCATTAATTTCCGGACAACCTAATATCTGCTTGTAATGGCACTGCAACCAGACATACCCCAAGATTGGGGTACTGTTTGATAAAGCAAAGTAAGTTTTACGAACTGGTTGATACTCCTGCTTCAAGGTTGCACCACACGAAGTTTAGAAAAAAATTGAAAAATTTTGATTGGCCAACGGGAAAAAGATAGATCTCCGTTCAAAAACTTCTCACTTGCAGACACCTATACTATCGACATCAGAACCATATATGCTGTTGCTGTTTTTTCCTTGAAGCCGAGGAACCGAAATTTTCATATGTTTCTCAGCAATGTTAGGCCGTTCTGACATGAGTAATTTTATAATACAAGCCTTAATGAGTACAACTGCAAATTTTTTTCAGCAATCTTTCGAGAAATTTCGATTTGAGCATAAAAAATCAGAAGAGGGGGCCAAACTTGACTTTTTTATCGACACTCGAAAAAAAAAACTGAAAATTTTCAGTTATACTCACTAAGGCTTGTAGTAAAGAATTACTTATGTTGAAACGCCCAGTATTGCTGCAAATAAAGCAGAAAAATTCTCGATGTCTTAGTTTCTAGTAAAAAATGCGGAAACTGCATATATGACAGTATGATTTGATGTCGACAGTATAGATGTGTGCGAGCGGGAAGTCCATAAAAAGTTTTGGAGAAAAATCTAATTTTTTTTTCATTTTTTCGGCGTTTGGAACTTTTGAGAGGGAAATCTTAGAGCGGAACTATCAAACCAGTCTGTAGAGCTAGCTTTGCTCTATCGAACAACACCCCTCAGGCATTTTTAAGGTTCGCCTGGTTGCAGTGCATAGCAACAAACAAAAAGCGACAGAATTTCCTTGAATTTGAAACAATTTTTGCCAGCAAATTTATGTACTAAAACTACTTTTTAACCTCACCGCGACAAAAGCAAAAATTGCCTTAAAACGATTTGCATTTTCGATTATCAGAAATCAGTTTTTGCCTAAATATCCTGAGAAGGCAGTCGTTGTAGACAAATCAATCTCTAAAAAGTAAATATTGCTGAAGTGTCCGTAGCACAAACGATTCCAAGGTGTAGGATCATATTGTTTAGATGTGGTCATTCTAATCCTAATCGTTGCGCTGAGCTTTATAGGTGTTGGAAAAATTCTCTATAAAATATGAACAGCCATTTACACGGCATCTGTTTGTGGCTCATCTCAGCTGCTCCACTTCGGCTGAAAGTAATCTCCTACAAAGAGAATCTTTGATATACGCTCAAGGTTTGCCGACACGGTTTTTCCATACCACAGAATCTAAATAAAGTTTTCTTCCGGTTCAGCAACAGATTCATCAACGTAACCTTCTCCTTTGATGCCATTGGCTAACTTCTTCTGTACTATATGAGATCAGTGTAGGTTGTCTACCGCTTGTTCCCATTAACCAAATAGAAGAGATCCATCATACTAAATTTAGCGCCAAAACTGTTTATGGCAGGCACGAAGGGATGAACTTTGCATATCACGAAGGACTCAAAACTCTTCAGCTAAAGCCAGTTATTGTTGTTACAACATCTATACCGTGGATTTGTGACATAACTGAACGGTTTATATATGATTTTAGAAAGCTGCAGTGCGCTTCCAAGAGTGTTCGATGACTAACAGTCAAATGAAGTGGAGAACGGATAAAGAGTGAAAATCGCACTATAGAACCCTAAGATTTCAGTTCTACGAATATGTGCATGCGAATATTAGCCAATCAGCGGTGGCAATGTATCATGTTATCCAAATATCAAGAACACAAAAATGGAAAGATTGCTGAATTTTGATGCACAAAATTTATTTCAATTTGATATGAACGTTTGCCTAGAGTCAGTAAATCTCAGAGCGTTTTCAATGACCACTAGTTTATCAGCCTTGCCATATGTGAACCCATGAACCCCATCAAAAGACGATGGCTTATGCTCCCATAGCCTATAAACATCATCAATTATTGGATCTAAAAATTGACTTAGCAGTTTATTTTGTCAAAGTGATATCTTATAAACCGTCAAGCTTTCTTTGCAGCACATCTAAGCTTATGCTTGTGATTGAGCACGGAAAGCATGAAAAGTGAAACTTACTTAAATCCAGTTGTCTCTTTTCATTTTGCACCTTGTAAACGCAAACGACCGAGTCGTCTAAAAAAATCAGTATCGCTGAGTTAGCAACTGAAGACTCAGAGACTTTCTTTTCGAAAAATAAAGTAATGTTTTGCAATGTTGCCGATATTCGTGCCCTAATTAGATATAAATTGAGACTAAGGCCTCGGACATAGTTCATGCGATTTGATCGTCACGGTTCAATCGCGACAAGACAAATGTTACGAGCTTATTGCATGCCGACCAGCTTGCACTTCGATTGTGATAGTTAGTCACAATTAGTCGTGTTGAAAAACCAAATCGCGTGAACTCTGTCCGAGGCCTAAGAGAAAGCAGTTTTGAGCTTGAAAAGTGCCTCATATTTTAGCTTTTCAGTAGTAGGATTTAGAGTTAGACCAGTTAGGTTCAAGCTCCAATTTGAACATCGCTTTTGCAGTAACGTGTCTGAAGTTCCTATAACAGCAAATCGAAACTTCGAGTTCGAGAGTTAAAACTCGAAACTTGAAAAGCGAAAGTCAGAATTTGAAGAAAAAACTGTGAGTTTTGAAGAAAACGCAGAATTATCTCTGAATTAACATCTAAACTCGAGTTTCGACATCACTGACTCATTTTTCCTCTGCTGTTACCATTTAAAATGGAAGATAACACTCCCTGATTGCGTACTTTATCTTGCTGTACGTTTGCGTTTGCTCACTAGCGGTTTCATACGTACCTGCCGGCGTATGCCATATCTTTCCCCCTGAACGTATACAAAATTCGCTGGTCACCGAAGACGCTGGTCCTAAAAGCACTAATAAAACAAAATTCGTAGAGAAGTGAATTGTAGGGTCAGTAAATTTTACCAATTCAAGTAAGATTAAACGACGTAGAGGATTTATTGTCTTCTAAGCGCTTACTTCTTATTCTAAGCACTTTCTTAGTATATGTAGAGCTTGATTACGCTTTCCCAAAAAGTTTGCTTTTCACACTTTAATCTCTCAATCTTCTGAGTTTCTTAATTATCGCCAAAGTCTTTGGCTAAACATATTCATTGTCTGAGGGATAAGTGTATTTTCGGATGTTGTTATAATACACAACTAAGCAACGTTGTGAATGGATAATCAAAACTGTCTATATCTATCTGTTCTACCAAAGCTTATCTTATCTTATCTTTTATTCATTCTCAACGGTTTACACTGTTCATGCAAAAGACCGTGATGATATCATGTGAGTCTTCATTATGTCAGTAGTGGGACCGCATATGTAATATATACCAAGTGTTCTCCATACAGCACATTCCATTCTTAGCTCCTGCCAATTACAATTAGGTTTATATATCTTGCAATGCTTATGGATGTCGTCTTCCCAACGCGTTCTAGGTTTTCCATCACCGAAAACGTCTGCCAATTGGTGGAATCCAACGTGTAAGCATGTCTGTCCATCTTTCATCGCCTTCTTTGCCAAGTTTTTTTCCAGCAAATCGCCATTTTCTTCGACGAGCTATTGCGACTACATCTTTCAGTTTCGTGATAAACGTATCCATTTTGAAGATTTTTGGTCTATTAAGCGAAATCCTAGCATTGATCGTTCCATCGCACTTTGGCATCGAAGAAGTTTCAGCAGCGAGTTCTTAGTCACCGCCCAAGTTTCGCAACCGTATAAAAGCGTTGGAAGTATCACGGTATTAAAGTAACGACGTTTGAGATGAACAGCAACATTTCGATTGCTGATAAATTGTCGTACTTTTCCAAATGCTTTCCAAGCCGCACTTATGCGTCTGGAAATTTCTTTATCATGACTGCGTGGGCATTGAATTAGCTGTCCAAGATATACGAAGCAACCTACACGTTCAATGACTTTGAAGTTCAGTGTGATTATCGAGCTCGTCCAAGTGTTGTCTCTGTCTTCGCCCATCCACTTGGTTTCATGGCCATTAATTTGAAGTCCTATTCGAAAACATGCATGGAGAAGCTTTACAGCCATTGATTTTAAATGACTTGCACTGAGACCTATGAGTACAATGTCATCCGCAAAAGCAAGGTAACGTAAACGTTTTTCCACCAATGTCATATCCTTCTCCTTCTTTCCACTGTATAGATTCGATCGCGTACTGCAGACATGTGATGAAAATGGCGGAGACAATGCATCGCCTTGACGGACTCCTCTATGTATGAAAGACGAGTTGATGTTATTAAGTTGAAGTGAGGCTCTTGCGGTTTGATATGATAGTTGTATCATCAAAATCGTATCATTATCTACTCCAAAGTAGGCAAGAGCTTCCCAAATTGCGTTGAATTTAATAGTATCGAAAGCTTTTTTAAAGTCGAGGGAAAGAAGTGCTATTGGTAGATGGTATTCATGGGTCTTCTCAATAAGTTGGTTAATTGTTTGCAAGCGGTCGGTAGTTGAAAACGTTCTTCGAAAACCGGCTTGCTCAATGGAAAGACGTTTATCTACCTTTTCCTCTATCCGGTGGGCCAAAGCTCTTGTCAAAACCTTATACAATGAGGGTAAGAGGGAGATCGGGCGGTAGTTTTTGATGTCATACCGATCGCCCTTCTTGTGAAGTAGAATCATGGAAGCATGTGCAAATTCATTGGGTATGCTACCTTTCTCGAACATTCGGTTCATGATATCTGCTAATTGTGGTGCAACAATCTCTACTCCATACTTCGCAGCTATAGATCGGATTCCATCGATTCCTGGGGCAGTGTTTCCGCGAATTTCTGAGGCAGCTACCCTCAACTCGTCCGCAGTTATTGGGTAATTTACGATTCGATGGGTGTGAGGCTGAATGGGATTGTCGCGTATTTCGTAAAGTTCAGCAAAGTAAGTAGTAGCGAGTAAACCAGCTTCGGTGGAGTTGGTTGTTAGTGTCTCATCTGGTCGGCGTAGCTGGCAGATAGTTTCTCGTTGATGAACAAGCTCAAGACGGCCACGCTTTATACGGTTGACTCGACACGCTTCAGAACAGAAAGATGATGTTGATGGAGATCGTCTTTTATTGACCATCTGGCAACCTTGCAAACAGTGGAGTATTCAACGGAGTCGAAAGAACTCTTCTGTCTTATCCCGTACTTCACTTCACGTCTCAAACGAAGAATGGCTTGGGTTCTATCGGATATCCGTTTTAGCGGTTCCCAGTGGACTTCTGCATGAGCAGCAGCCTTCTGTATTGATGCGCGTAGTTGCAACCAAGAGCTCACCGGATCATTCGATATCAGAGTTGATGAAATTCCATTTACTCGGGGATCATTAAGTAAAGCTGTCTTCATTTTGAGCTCGCAATAATCGGGAGGCAGTCGAGCAAAACGTACTTTACTGTGCATGATCCGGATGTCGACATCAGCCCGGATATGTCTGTGGTCACTTCCAGCATTAAATTTGTTGAGAACGGCAATATTAGTTACTATCCTTGGTTGTCGTGTCAATCTGTAATCTATCTCTTCCAGTACTTGTCCATTGGGAGATCGCCAAGTCCATCCTCGTCTGTGAGGCTTTTCGAAAAAGGAATTCATTACATAGGATTTTTCAGACTCAGCGAACTCAAGCATGGCCTGCCCTTTACTATTCCGTATTCCAAGACACTTGTCGCCGACATATTCGCTTCGTGGCCCATCTCTTCCTATACGCGCGTTAAAGTCGCCAACCAAAATGTCATAGGTGTATCGTTTTTGTGAAAGTGCGCATCGAAGTTCTTCTACAAATTCTTCAAAATCATTCTCCAGCCATGGTGCGTAGGCTATAGAAACCCGCATAGACCTTCCCCGCATCCGAAAGTGGATCTGCATAAGGCGTTCCGAGACGAAGGTTACTCCTACGCAATAACGATGAATGCGCTCAATCACTAGTATGCCGACTCTTCTTCTAGTGGCTTCTCCATTTGTTCGTCCACTATTATAGAAGTGTAAGTTCGAGAAGCTTCGTTTCGTATAAGAAGAGCCGCTGCGACGAGTTTCGCATAATCCGAAAATATCAAATTTTATCATACTTAGTTCCTCCTCTAGCGCAACTAATCTTTCCTACTATACAGAGAACGAGCATTGTAAAAACATACGCGCAACTGTTCTTGTCGTCGTTGGGTCCTGCGTTCTTTGGTATCTCGTCTTGGCATCCTTCGGTGGACCAGCCACGGTTTCTTCCACCGAACTTCTTCTTAACTATCCTCGATCGTTGGTTAGATCAAAGCAGCAAAATAAGCCGACCGTTCGGGGGGACGTTAATGACAGAAGTGTTTCTACCAAATACCCTGCCTATATTTCTGTGTGTGCTTATACCTGCAAATGTAGCATTTTGATTCTGGACTACTGTTGTGAACTTTGCACATGTACGAGACAAATATCATTGGTTATGCTATTCATATCATTTTTTCGATTAGTGACAAATTTTGAGCAAGAAGGTTGCAAATTAGCAAAAAGGTAAGGTGGGATGTGAGGAAATCAATAAAGTTTATGAAAGTTAATTATCGGAGAATGCTTTTACTTGGTAACCAACTGACTCCCAATAGGTGATTGCAATGTTAACATGTTTCCAGCTGCCTTTTCCAGTAAGGATTAGATTGCAAAGCAACTGCCCGATTGAAGTTTTCAAAAAAATCGAATCTTTGTTGCGTCTTTTTTGTGAACATTGAATGTTATAATCAAGTAGTCGCACCACATCCTCTGTGGGATTTCCAAGAATGGTGCAGTGTTTTGTACATATGTTGAGTATTGGATATTGATTATCATGAGATGACTTTGCTCCATCAAAGCTGGTTGAGGTATGTAGAACCAGACAGAGTGAGTTTAGCAACATAAGAGACAGAGACGCGGAACGCTCATACCAGTTAGCCCAGTTAGTATCCAAAACGTGTTGTAACAGCTTCCTTCTGCATCGCATCGCTGTAATTCTCTCAAATCCAAATATCAATTCAAATGCATATTTTTATTCAATAAATACGTTGAAGTAGCGTAATACTGTATCATATGCACTTGACAACGTTGTCCTGTCGAAGATGTTATAGAAAGCTTGCGCGATGTGCTGCACAAAACTTATGAAAACGGCAGCTAGTTACCAAAAGCTGTGCGAAACAGTACATGGAAGTTGATGTCCTCAAAAAATCGCACGCAATTCTAATATGCAAGCTTGCGTATCTCAAAACAATCCTTCTAGAAAAAATAACTCAGAACGTAGCATCTTTACATTATTCAAAGCTCATTAAATTGTTTGCTTAAACTTCAAACCCCCTACCTATGAAATTTTCACTCTCAGGATCTCATTACCTTTTCGACCACAATAATGCTAGCGCACGTCAAGAGTTGAGCTAGGTTGCGCAACGTACACAGCGTAGGTGACGTACGCGGCGCACGCACATGTGCATGAAGATTTGGGGCGTGCGCTGCTTACGTCGCGTACGTCGCGAACGCCGCGCATTTGGGCTCAGCTCTAACGGCTTGCTGCAGAACTACGGTAAATGAACTGTGACTAAGTCTGCTCAGCTGCGAATGAGGTGTGAACTTTCAACAGAAGTCATTTTGGAAAAGCACATTGCAGGTTTTTTTTTCTTCAATTGAAAAAACGAAATTGCAGCTGGTCAGTTAGTTACTCAATACTGTCATCTGACAGATTTTGATGAAGCATTTGCGCCCACATATCGCTTTTCACTAAATAATCGCAAAAATGTGTTTTTTGCAGCCAATCTGAACCCATATAATATAATGAGGTCGGTCCAAAAGTTCGTGCAGTTTTTCAGACTTAACATCTAATCGCTCAGGGTAATGTTAGACGAATGCTCTGAACAGTACTGTGTTTAGAGCAGAATGT